TAGCCCTTAGCAGTAGTCGCCCATAGCTCGTCTTCCCATACCCAGGCTGCTCTGTTTGTGCATTAGACCTCAGGGAAGTCTCGAAATAGATGTTGAAGTGGTCTGAATATCGGAAAGGGGAATCCATGGTCTTTAATAAAGTTCTGCTCACTTCAGTTAAATTCTCGTGGTACTGCTTAGGTCTATTTGGCTGTTTATTCTTGAATAGTGAGTCACTTGGATTTGACAAGTAACCACTTTTATAGCCTGCAGTTACCCTCCCCACTTAAGTGTCCTTAATTTGTCGTTTTGTAAGTCTCAGTGACCTTGAGGCATCTTGGGTTGTCCTGTAGGTCAGCAAGTGGGTTTCGAGGTTTGTAACTGGATTTCCTTTTTTGTTTTACCTTCTCTTAGACAAGACCATCATCATGTGGAAGCTGACCCGGGATGAGACCAACTACGGCATCCCACAGCGTGCTCTTCGGGGTCACTCCCACTTTGTTAGTGATGTGGTCATCTCTTCAGATGGCCAGTTTGCCCTCTCAGGCTCCTGGGATGGAACCCTTCGCCTCTGGGATCTCACAACGCAAGTAGCTGCTCACTTAGCTCTGGGGCCTGGGCAGAAAAGAGGTAGATACTGTTGGGAAGTGGTTTCCCAGGGGCGATTAGGTCCATTGAGGGCACTGTAAGGCAAAGAGCACCTAGAGAAGATGGTTGGCCTTGTTTGGTTTCCCTTCTCGTTGCTCTTAATGAGTGATGCAGAATTGTTGAGGAGTGGTCTGATGAGCAGTTTTGTCAGATATTGCAGTTGGGAGTAGGCGACAGTTTGAACATGTTTTATTTTGGGAGCTCGGTCTTGGGATGGTCAGGCATAATAGAGGATCCCAGTGATGACAGACGACATTGTCAGCCAATCCCCACGTGGGAATGAGGACATGTCCTGCAATTCTGAAGGGATTCTCTGGCATATCTCAGCCAACCACCTGCTGTGATCAGAGCCATGACCAGGGTTGTGTGAGTAATGCAGCTCCACTAGGACAGGAACAAGGTCCCCAGGGAAATAGTCTGACTGTGGAAGAATGTTTGCAAAGTCTAGAGAGTGACCAAGTCTTCCCTCTCAGGGGCACCACCACACGCCGATTTGTGGGACATACCAAGGATGTGCTGAGTGTGGCCTTCTCCTCTGACAACCGGCAGATTGTCTCTGGCTCCCGTGATAAAACCATCAAGCTATGGAATACTCTGGGTGTATGCAAATACACTGTCCAGGTAAAGTGAAGGCACATGTTGTTGAAGGTTCTCCCATCCTTCTTAACCTTGGCTGTATCTGGTGATTCAAGCCTCATCTGGAATCTAAAAGGGGTCTGTTGATCTTAAAGGTTTGGGTTCTGGGGATGTGAATGCAAGGCTATCAACATGTATCCCATGTAACTGAGGGGAGGGGTGGGGGTCTAGAGTTTTATGGGACAAGACAGTTTTGCCTTATTTCCTTTCCATCCTCTGTAGGATGAGAGCCACTCGGAGTGGGTGTCTTGCGTCCGCTTCTCACCCAACAGCAGCAATCCCATCATTGTCTCCTGTGGCTGGGACAAGCTAGTCAAGGTGAGCTTGGAGCAGGAGTGTAGGGACTTTACCAGCCAGCATATGTACCTGCTTCTTCCCAGGTGGTCATAGCCTCCAACTTTGAAAGCTTTGTGCCACGATTGACATTTTTCCTTTTGCTATTTTCCCAGTACAGCCCATTAGTTTTTGATATTTGGTCTGAAGTAGCTAATTGAAAGGCAACACACATAGCATTTGTTACCTGTTTTAATCCTAATTGCTTTCCTGTGGCCTAGACAAATTCTTTAACCTTTTTTGTTAGTGATGGAAAGAAAAACGGCTACCCTATTCAGGAATGCTTTTAAACAAGATGCCTGTGCCTTTTTTGTTTGGCTTGAGCCCTCCTGACCCTGGCTGATTCAGAGCCAGGTTCTTTACCTATGACCCCCCCACTCCCCAAACTTAGGTGTGGAATTTGGCAAACTGCAAGCTGAAGACCAATCACATTGGCCACACGGGCTACCTGAACACTGTCACTGTCTCTCCAGATGGATCCCTCTGTGCTTCTGGAGGCAAGGTATTCAGGGGCCAGGAGCCTCCTGCTCGATGGGGGATGGTGTCTTAGAAAGGATACTTAAAATAATGAGATAGCATTCCAAGAATAAATGTTTCTGAAGATCACTTTCTGAAAAGGACACAGATAAGGCATAGTGTTTAAGGCAAAGGATTCTCTTCTGTAAAGCTTGTTTCTTGAAGCTATTGATGAGGAGCATTATGTGTTTTCAGAACTGTTAGGGATTTATTCAGAAGTTGTCAGAGACTTTTGGTGGGATTGATGAGGTCACGCGTTGAGGGAAAGGTTAACAGAGATTTGTACTTGAGTCATTAGCTTTTGGGAAGTACAGGGTACTAGGGGGCGGAGGCTGTTAACAATTAAGACAGATTCTTGAAACAGGTGGGATTAACATCTGGAAGAGGTCTCATCACCGTGACTCACATTCCCTGTCTGTCTAGGATGGCCAGGCCATGCTTTGGGATTTAAATGAAGGCAAGCACCTTTATACGCTAGATGGTGGGGACATCATCAACGCCTTGTGCTTCAGTCCCAATCGCTATTGGCTCTGTGCTGCCACAGGCCCCAGCATCAAGATCTGGGTGAGTATGGGCTGCAGCTGAGGCCAAGTGCCTGGCTGTACTCTCCAAGCCCTGGCATTGTGATCTCTCAAATGTGTCAGCAGACTCACTGCTGGGATTTGAGCTTCCTGAACAACTGCTAGCTATCAGCCTGTCCTCGGAGACTCAAGAAGAGCAAGTTAAAACTTCCTGGGATTGGAATTTGCAATGATCTGAGATCTTTGCCTACTAAAAGGGATGACCACTTATAGCAATTTACGCAACCTCAGCACAATTGACATTTTCGTCAGGATACTTTGGGGGAAGGGTAGGTGCATTTTAGGATGTGTAGCAGCATCCCTGTCCTCTGCTCCCAACAAGATGCCTGTAGTAAACTCCCTCTCCCTTCGTGAAAACCAAAAATACTTCTAGGCATTGCCAAGTGTTCCTGAGGGGACAAAAAATCATCCTCTGTTGAGAATCAGAGTGATAAAGGGGCTTTTGAGAGGGGACCTGTCTGTCTTGAGGTTTAAGTGTTAGCGGCATTAAAGTGTTGAGTGTCCTTACCCTGGTTTTGCCCCTTCCCCAGGACTTGGAGGGCAAGATCATTGTAGATGAACTGAAGCAAGAAGTTATCAGTACCAGCAGCAAGGCAGAGCCACCCCAGTGTACCTCCCTGGCCTGGTCTGCTGATGGCCAGGTAAGAGGTTCTGTCCTCGGGTGACTCAGCTTCTACCTTTTCTCTCTACCTTTCTGCTCTTAGTGTGTCTTGACGTAAAGTAAAATGACAACATTAGCCGAGTTGATTTGCGAGGACCTAGTTAGCTGTGCCAGTGAACATACACTACGTGTTCCTGCTTCGGAAGGAAGATTGTGATCTGGAGGGCAGTGGTTACCTGTCTTCAGTTAACACCTTGAATGATTTGACCAGTTTATAAATGTATGAATCCTTACTACCAGCTGTTGCTTTCTCTAGGAGTACATAATTATCACCCACAATTGGGTAGAGTGGGGATTTTAAAAGAAGGGCCATCTTTGTTGCATGAGTGGGACTGCAGAGTTCCATGGCTCTGATCTGACTTATAATCACTCATTTCTCCCTTGCAGACTCTGTTTGCTGGCTATACGGACAACCTGGTGCGAGTGTGGCAGGTGACCATCGGCACGCGCTAGAAATACATGACAGAGCTTTAGAAATAAAAAACTGGTTTTTGACTTTTAGAAAGTGTCTTTCTCTGATAAGCAAAAAAGCCACTTCCTATGCTGTGCTGCTTAAAAGTTTAAAAAAAAAGTCTCTTCAGTTAAGATACTGGCAAACTGGAAGCAAGGTGATGAAATGCATGGGCAAGTAAACAAGGCTTGCAGAAGTGGGAGATGTCAGTCTGTATAGGTTCCCTGTAGGGTTGGAGTGGCATCAGATGTGACATGGAGGTTATACAGGGTAGTTTCCCCAACTTGCTTCATCACAGTGTTCTACATTTCAGGTACAAATTCTTGGGGCCTCCCTTCAATTATTCTTGAGTGAAAGGGACTGATTATTCCAAAGTGGCTGCAGTTGGTTTAGGTCCTCCAGTCCAACTCAACACCAAAGAAAGAATTGAAAAAACAGGCATTTTGTCATTCCTCCAAAGGTAAGATTATAATTCAGAAAAGACTCTGAAATTCACCAGGTTAGCATAGTCTACATCAAATTGGGGGTTTGGAAAAAACCCTTCAGGGCAAGGGAACTCTCACCAGAACTGCTGCTTAAGAACAACTCTTTACTCCTTCCATAATTAGAGATTAAAAATTGTGTAATCTGGAGGCATAAATATGATCACAGCTGGCTTTTTCTCAGTGGCTAAATGAGAAGCACAGTGTATTGAAGTAGCTTGAATGTACCCTCCATTGCCTCCTTCAACCCATAATGGTAATGAGGCCTCTCATTGGCTTCAGCTTCAAGTTTGTGGGACTTGAACTAGATATAATCACATATAGAAAGACTTTAAAAGTGGAGTGTTCCTAGGTCTTGGGCTTGAGACCCATATGTGGAGATTGTTGGGAAAACCATAGTCATAAATTATCAAAGCAGTGGTAAAAAGGAAGTCGCAAATGATTTCAAGTAGATTCTGCAGGGCATGCCAATAAAGTAGGATATTCAAATGGGGGGAGAAGGATAGGATTTGTACCCCAATCAGTTGAAACAGGATCATGCCTGATGTGACAGCTACCAAGGACATGTATTTGGTAAAGGTGCAATTAACCAGTCCTCAGTTCTGTGGCATCTCATTTACCGAAGGGACTGGCTTACTGTGGAAGAAATCAAATGGCTTCTAAGTTACATCCTCAAGCAGGTTCTGCTCATCTAAAGTAATGGACTCCACAAAAGAAGCAAATAAACCTTTTTATTTCCACAACACAGCCCATCTTCCCTTTCCCTCAGGAACGTAAAACAACCTCAGCGATCAAAGCTGAGGACAAAAGCTGCTAAGTGACAGAAGGCAAGGAGTTACTAGAAAAACAGATTACACCCAAGGCTCTCCTCTCGGGGGATCCAAACCCCTGTCCCCAGGCTCCCAGTCAGGGCTTGCCACATGGAGGGAACTAAAGACTTGAAGAGGACAAAGGAATTTCACTGAACAAAAGGGAAAGGAGCCTGAGAATGAAAAGACCTGGAGGGATAGGATGGGTGAGCTTTGCTTTTGGGCTGAGTACTGGAAAAAGGAAGGGGGAGAAAATAATTTATTGGGTGATATAAAGGTACGTGGTTTCAATGGTGTCCACCATTCTAGACCTCTCACTGAGGCTAAATTCTGGCCAGTCTATGGAGGTAGAAATTGGGGATGGAAGGAAAGTGTAGAATCCCTTCTACTTCCCCCGGATAGTAAGACATTATTACCCAGCTCCACCCTTTTGCCCCGCCTGCCTCCCCAAAAAAGCTTCCAAATCCCTTAGCTAAAATTTGCATCAGAAAATGGAATTGGAATGGGGGCTGTCATCAGTCTTGCCCAAATCCTCCAGCCTCAGAAGTGACTTGAAGGTTGAAGAGCAGGGGTGGGGAAAGGGAAGTTTAGTAATGAAATTACCATCTCCCCTCATCCCCTACTCAAACTCAGAACCCTGGGCCCACAGGAGGGATAACCAGGCAGCTATTCTCATCAGGGACCCATGCAGACCTGTTTGGCAGACATAGGTGAGAGGAGGCAAAGCTGGAGGCCAAGAAAGTTCTTTAGGCTCCTAGAGGGAGATGCAGGAGTGGGAAGCAATGCAGTAACAGTGGGAGGAGCCTTTGAGGGCCATCTTCCACCACCACCCGCCCCCACAGTGCTGACCAGAGGGGCCCCTACGGGTGGCAGGCTGATCAAGGGCAGAGCTTGATGCGGGTGCCCTTGGAGAGCACCCGGAAGAAAGGGAAAACACGCTCGCCCAGGAAAGCAGCCGAGAAGGTGTGCACGTGGGCCAGAGTCTCTGCATTGTAGAAGCCCAGGCGCCCGGCCTCATAGTCCAGGTACACACCAAAGCGCCTCGGTTTCTCACTTGGGCTCAGCAGTGTCTGCTCCGTTGAGCTCTGTGCCTGGTAGCGTTTACCATTGGTGCCCACACACCACACTTCCCGCTGGAGCAGGGGCTGCTGGGGCAGGTAGAGCCGGCGACGGCGATGATGATGGCGTGAGGAGCAGCTGGCATCCCCGCTGCCCACAGAGGACCCCCCAGAGCCCACCTTCTCCTTATGATGGGTCGATTCACGGGCAGCACCCACTGCCCAGCCCCGCCGCCCACCCACCTCTACCTCCCAGTAGTGCCGGCCAGAGCGGAAGCCCTGGGCCCCCAGTACACAGCAGTCCGCTGAGAAGTGCTTGGAGTGGTCAGCAACCTCCTGCCGCCGCTCTGCCAGGCGGACCCCTCGGCGGTCAGGGGACAGCATCAGGGCCGGGTGAGCCGTGTCAGGGTCCAGTGTCAGGTCCACTTGGGAGGGGGGGAGGACAAATACGCCAGGGCTGGAACAACTGTTCTCCATCAGAAGCCAACTCCAGGGTTCGGCCTTTCCTGCCACCTTTCACCTCCCTCCCCCCATCCAACCAGCCTCAGCTCCCCACCCCATCCTACAGGCCAGGCTCAGGTTCCTATGGGCTCCACCTCTTTCTCCACTCTTGTTTCCAGGACACCAGACAAGTCTTCCCTCTGGCCCCGGCTATTCTTGCCACCTCCCCACCCCCAACACCTACCTGGGCCACGAGAAAAGCTACTCTTGGCCTGAAGCCCCGCGTGGCCTGCCTTTATCCTGCTCCATCTCAGCACCCACTCTTCCCTCGGGGCCCAACTTCCCTCAGAACCCCATCTCAGGTCTGTGAAGGGAAAGGCAAAGGAAAGTCTCACAGGTGACCTCCCTACCTCGGGCAGCCTGACAGAACATCCGGCTCATTTTCCTCACGATGGCGTCTGTCAGGAAGTCATGGCTATGGGGTTGACACGGGTCAGGGGACCAGACCTCTGGGGGCTGCAGCTGTACCTCTTCACACCTGGAGGAAGGGGACCGGGCAGGGGGTGGGACCACGATATTCCCAGAGGGAAGAATAGAAACTGAGGGGAAGGAGAGGAGGATCCAGGAGGCAGAAACTTGGGTCCTGGGGAAGGAAGGAGAGGAGCAGGATATCCAAGAGAGGCAGGGATGGGGAACCAGATTCCACTGGGTCACAAAGGATAAAGGGTGGGAACACACCTATTGAAAGTCTCCTTGATGTCCTGGGAATAACAGAAACAAAAAGAGGGAGAGGGAAAAAGAGACAAAGAGAGAGTCAGCTGCACAGGGGCGGCTCCTTTCTCCCAATCTGATTCCAGCCAGAGAAAGGAAGGACTGAACTTGAACAGGGAGGCAGAAAAAGCACCCTCAAGGCCCTCAACCAATGTGCATCTATCTCAATCATTCCTATGCCTCAGCATGCCTAACTCATCCTGCTGTGAGCCCAGTAACAGAATTTTCAACCCCAGTAAGAGAATTTTCAAAATTGACTTGGTCATCTTTCAGGATGTCACTGTCAAAAATTCTTTTCTCAATTCTTATTTAAAATCTCCCTTCTACAACTGAATCTTCTTTCTTTTCACTAGGTATAATCATCACACAAACCACATTCTGTCTCCAGCCTCAAAAAACCTTTTGGTCTTCAGGTTAAGTCATTGTGGGTTCCTCCCAATGAGAAGAGAGGCAGCTCTGCACAGCTGTTACAAGCACTGCCTGACAGAGCAAACACGATACTGGGGGGCAGACAGGGAAGGAGGCACTGCTCACCTGGAGCAGCCGCAGGCCCCCCTGCTGGCTCCGTTCTTGGGCCTCGGCCAGCAGGCGGCTCAGCTGGGTAGCCTGCTCTGCAAGGCGGCTGGCTGCTGCTCCTGCGCGCCCCAGCTGGGCTTCGTGCATCTCTCGGAGGCGCTGCTCCAGCCCTGCCTGTTCTTCAGCCAGAAACCGTGTCAGCCGCCCAAACTCTGAGGCCACAGCCGCCAGCTCCGACTTCATCTGGCTCTGGGATGATGCAAAGAGGATGATGGATACCACCTCAACACACAGAAACATAAACCTCCAGTTTTGCAACTGCTGCCCCTCAACCCAAGGCAAAGGAGCCCTATATCCCGAATGGAAAGAGGCTCCTGTTCCCTTTCCCACCTCCCAGCTTTACCACACACCACTCCTACACTCCTGGCACAATGGTCCCAAACTCTGCCTGCAACACTTAACTCCACCTTGGCTACCTAACTCGACTCATTCTTCAGGTCTAAGCTTAAACATTCTCTGAGAGAAGCCTTGCCTCCCCTCCAGATCTAAATTTCATTATTCTGATTTCTGATTTCATTGTACAAATACCACTGTATCTCCTCAAGGCAGACATCTCAATTTGAAATGGTCAGTTTACATTGGAATACCTTTTAACCTTTCCCCCACTGCACCATAAGCTCTGTTTGCCAAAGAGTCCTCGGACCCTGGCACAGCACCATCCACAGATAGGTGCTTGGTAAGAATTTTTTGAAATGAATAAATAAAAAATTCAGGAATCAAGATAGGAAGTTAGGGTCCTGATTTACACCACTTGTGTAACCTTGGGAAAGTAACTCAATCCTTTTATCAGGAGTTGGCAAACTTTTTCTCTAAGGGCCAGATAATATTTTACACTTTAAGGGCCAAGAAGCAAAATCAAGGATATTATGATGTCGGTACTTCTATATACAATGAGAGAAAACTTCTGCCCACTCCCACCCCATTTGCCTGGGCTGAGCAATCCTGGATGATGGGCACCATTTTCACCCAGATATCAGCTAGACACATTCTTGGGACAAAGAGTAACAGGCCAGAGTGGGGAGGGAAGTCCTGGCTGGCCAAGGAGGTGGAGGAAAGTCAGTTTTACTCTCTGTCCCAGTGACACTCAAATCCTGACACTTTCTCAGCACCCCAGGAACCCAGAAGTCTCAACTTGGGTAGCTGGCTGGAGGCAAGATAACTCGCCGACTCCCAGACTCAGATTCTACCACTCAGTCCTGGCAGTTGCCAGCAGCAGAGTCCCTAAAGGATAGGTGGCAATGAATGAGCACGGGCCCTGGGATGTGGCAAGGCCCAGCCACTGGCCAGGGGGGCAGGCATGGAAGGGATAAGGGAAGAAGTCAGACAGGAGGGATGTCCTGGCTTGGTCTCTGAAGCTCAGTGCTAGGCCATTCCAGTGCCTGCTGGCTTTACAAAAACAGGCAGGGGGTGAGAGATGGAAATTAGGAAAAACATATCTAAAAATACTCCTTGTGGAGGGGTAAGCAATAATGAAAAAAGGCTGAGAAACACTAGAAGATATAAGGACTAGACGATACTATGTCTCTGCAATGCTAACATTCAGTAATTCCTCCCCATCCACTAAACACTCTTGGCTCCCTCTCATGCCTAGGGCTGCTCTGCCCACCACCTGCCAACCATCCTGGCACCCGGGGCTTCTCTGATGGCTGCTATGTGGATTCTTCCTTGCCCCTTTCTGCCCTCTGTGCTATCTCATGTGGTGGGCACAGCAGTGTGGGGCACCGGCTCTGGGCTCTGCAGCCTTGGGCAGGCACCGAACCTCTCCAAGTCAGGCCTGTTTTCACTCCCTTTTGGAACCTAGGAACAAACACCTCCTGACCCACTAAGGCCCCTTTCTCTTCAGAACGCTAGGAAGGTGTCGACCTCTCTCCCAGGCCTTGGCTGCCCCTCTTCCAGGGATCTAGTCACCATTTGTGAGAGTGGGGAACCCATCTTCCCTGCCCTGACCACAGAGCCAGTCAGCCCCTGCCAAGGACATTCACCCACCTTCAGCTCTGTCACCCGCCTCTCCTCCTTGGCCTTCATCTTCTGCACAGCCTCCAGGTGCTTCCTCAGTGGTTCCACATGTCCCTGCAGTTTGGCCTGAGGGAATGAAAAAAGGAAGGTTAGAGGCCTGGGCTAAGAGAAGGACCTGTCCTCAGAGCCCACCTCCCCCATCCTCCCTGCAGTGGTTTGGGGCTCAAAGCCTGATCCCCATCACAGGTATCAAATGAGCATCATACTCTCTTCTTCCCCTTTCTTCTCTTCAGATGATGACAAAGGCCTCCAACCCTCCACCTGCACTCATGTACAGAAGCCCTGGGCGTGTTCTCTAAACATAGGATCCTGATGACTACAGAGCCCCACACTCAGAGTTGGGGTGGACCTCACTTGAGCCCCTCACCTCACAAAGTCCTTCCATATGAATATTCCTGCCTATGGTCCCTTCGCCCTCATGAGCATTCTTCCTCATAACTTCCATCTCTACTCTTTTGATGATTTTGTGCCTGTGCTAAAAATCCTTCAGTAGTTCTCCACCACTTGCAAAATATGAGGCTCTCATTGCCACTACATTTCTAGCCTCCTCTCCTACACCTACCCCTTCTATCTAGAATTTTAGTTTTAGCCACATAAAACTACTTGTCTTTTCCTGAGTATAATTTCATACCTTTATCCACGCTGTTCCTTCAGTCTGAGATAGCCCTTTTCCACTTGGCCCAAGGCATTCTTCCTTTAAAACCCAGCTACTTGACCATGGCCCTGATCCTTACCATCCCCAACTTCCTCTGTAATCCAAAGAAACATGAATACAACCTTTACAATACTTCCCAGGCACTGTAATCATTTACAAGTGTGCCTCCTCCAAGACACAGGGGCTCCTGGGGGCAGGAGCCCCACTTTACTTATTTCAATTTCTATGCTTCTCTCCGTCCATCTGCCTTCTCTCTCATTCAACTACTTGCTAAATGAAAAACAAAAACCCTCTCCTCCTAAGGTTTTAAGCTTCACAGCAAATATGCACTTGAGCCGTGTGTTCCAATCATCTGTAGCAGGATCTTTTTCTTTGAAGGGCGGTTAGAGAGACCAGTAAGGGTGAGATAAGCCCGACCTACCTGCTCTTTCCCTTTTTATCTCCTCTACTACTTCTGCCCTCTCCTTCCTTTTCCTTGAGTGGTAATACAAGGCAGAAGAGCTCAAGCCTACACTCCAACCTGAACCTAAACGCAGACCTGAGGCAAGCCATGCTACCAGTTCCCTCATCTTAAGATGGGAATTGGGAATAACAGAATCCACGTCATGGACAGTATGCTTAGCACAGTGTCTGCCATACAGCAAAAGATCAGTAAATGTCATCTAATATTCCCTGTCTAGGCCTAGGCTGCCAATGACAGCCTGATAATGACCCTTGAACTAAAGAGGTTATTGACCCAGAGTACAAAAGGCAGTTGTTGCACAGGATAAGTGGTTGTAGAAAAAAATTACAGTAATAATAAGATTACAATCAATCCATAATGTGAAAATAGTATAAACTACCCCAAATTTTGCCTTTTGATATTACTTTCTACTTTTCTCCAGTAGTGTCAATAATTTCAACTCTATTAAGTCAGAATTCATGATGCTTAAATTTCCCACTTAATATTTTTCCTAAATTGTTGACAAAAAGTTCATAAGCACATATCCAAACAGAGTACTATTTAAGAGAAATTTTCAAAGACCTTCAACTTTTTAGGAGCTTCATTTATAGATCATTTGTGTGTTATTACCTATTCAATACGGAAATACTTCTACAAAGTAACACTGTGCCAAGCTATTGCTAGTTAGTGTACGTATCTGAAAAGAATAAACTACCTACCTGTAAAATAGCCTATAAGTTGGAAAGGGCATCACTTGAATTAGTTCTACATAATAAAACTTACATATTTACATTTGCTGATCTGTTAATATCAGATTATTTGTGTCCATATGGCCTCCCCAAATAGCAGAGCTCTACTGGGGTGGCATTCAATAGATGTGGCTAACATAAATTAAAATCCAATTTCAGAAGCTCTTCGGAAGAGTCCTGCAGAAGGAAGGTAGAGAAGAAGGAGTAGAATGCCCATGGATAGTCCACCCCAGGATCCAGTTAACAAAGTGAACATACATTGATGTTAACTAGGAACCGAGTTAACCGAGGGAATATTAAAGGGAAGGACTAAAGGAGCTCACAACCTCTCCTAATAACGCAGGGCCTAAAAGGCAGGCGATGTTACCAACGCAGTGATTCCCATGCTAGGCAGGGCTTTCTAAAGACATTCTCCTCGTCACTGATTCAGAATCCCTAGGGTACTTTTGAAATCTCCTAGTTATTGGGATAATCAGCCAGGTTTGACAGTTAGTGTGTGGAAGAAATAGTTACTTGTTATAAGGGGATGTAGGTCTGTCTTAGCTGTATCACTCACAGATCCAGACACGTTACTCTACAATTGTCATAAGACAAAAAAAGCTCTGCGCAGACCACACAGAAGCAGCTACCCTCTCCCCCTCCTGGTCCCACTGCTTCAAATCCATCTGGGCCTTCACTCAGTTTTGTCCTGGATGGCTATTTGTGCTGGGTGTCTCACAGAAAAATCTCCTTTATGTCCAAAAAGAGTCAGGATCAGAAGTAGGGGGCAAGATATTAACCAAACTAAAATCAGACTCCAAGAAGAAAAGTCACATGTCAGAAAAGTCAAACTAACAACAGACATTCAAATGGTGGTGACATTGTTAACAATACAGGCCAGGGGAGAAGGGGTCATAACCAAGTCCATCACTTACAAGTAGCTGTGTGGTCCTTTGTATATTACTTATATCTGTTTCCCAATCTGTAAAATGGAAACAGATAGCATATCAAACTCACAGGGTTGTTTTGAGTTTTAAATGAGATAGTCCATGAAAAGTGCTTAGTAAGTGTTTGGTAATAATACTGGAGAAATTAAAGTTCAAAGGCATTCAGAGACTTGCCAGAGTGAATTCAGAGCCAGGTGTTCTGACTTATAAGCCTCTCCCTTTTTTCTGAATTCCCAGGGAAGAAGTTCCGGTCAGTACATCAGACTGATGCAGATCCAACAAAAATCCTCTGCGAGAACCACGCCATATCATGGGGTGGGTGGGATACCCATTAGAAGGCCTGTGTAGAGCATTTGTGTCTGACACTAGTGGTCATTTCTATGCTCCTGCTCCTCAGAGCCCTTTCTTGTTCTTTGAGGCCCCAAGTTCTTCCCATCTCCAGAGGTCTCAGTCGAAGACTTAAGACTAACCCAGAAGAAAATGAGACTGGTGGTAAAGCCCTACGGCCTGTCATCTGCACTCCTACACTTAGGGACAGTAGAAGTGTGAAACAGCAGTGGCTTTTCCCCAGGAGATGAAGCCCAGTGATATGGCATCACCAGCTTTGCCCAATTTACTTTGAGGAAGCCAGTCTTCCCTGGTCGTCTTCACTGTATGCTTTGTCTGTGTACAGGATCCTTCTCACTCTAACCCACCTTGGTGCCAGTAAGTCCTTGGATAAGAAGAATCAGTTCATCAGTACAAGAGATTCTTTGGGAGGATGACATGTTTCCTTTCCTAGCTTCTCTTACTTCCTCTCCACCCCCACTAAACTCCCTTCTTCTACTTCTCTCACCTTGTACTCCTGCACCACCTCCTCCAATGGCACCACGCTGTGCTGTTTGTGGCTCCTGGATTCTCGGCACACCACACAGATGGCCTCTTCATCCACCTCGCAGAAGAGCTTCAGGGCTTCCTGGTGTTTGGGACAAATGCCCTGCTCGGTCCCACGGCTCCCTCGACCAGGAGTTGGGTGCATCTGTCGAATCACCTGGACCATGTTGGCCAGCTGCAGGTTGGGACGGAAGCTCCGCCTAGGAAAGCTCTTTCGGCACTGGGGGCAGGTGAAGCACCTCCGAGGGGCTGGAGGCGGGGGCAGTGGGGTGACGGGCTCTAGCTCTTCTTCCTCGTCCTCCTCCAGCACTTCCTCCTCGTCCTCCTCATCCTCCCCCCTGAGGTCCTCCTCCATGTCCCCCAAGTAGTAGTCCAGGTCTTCCTCCTCGTCCTCCTCCTCCCACACGTAGTCCACGTTATCCCAGTTGGACCCGCCCACGCCACTGGTCCAGAACACACCCTCCTCTTCCTCCTCGACCTCCTCCTCCATGTCACCCTCATACTCTTCATCCCGCATGGGGGTGTCCCACCCCCCACCGGCCCCCACAGCCTCCACTTCCTCCTCCTCCCCGTCCTCCTCCTCCTCCTCCCGGTCTAATTCGTCCCTGTCCTCTTCATCCTCCCCTCCCCACAACTGGGTTACACACACGCGGCAGAAGTTGTGCCCGCAGCCGATGGACACGGGGTCCGTGAAGTAATCGAGGCAGATGGCGCACACCGCCTCCTCCTGAAGGGTCTGCACGGGGTTGGGTGCCATGGCAACGGCAGCCATTTTAGTGTCCAGTCAGCCAGTGTAGACGGGCGGCGGGGGTCGGGGGTCTTCCCCCTCAGACGCCCTGACGACCCGGCCCCACTCCCAGCCCTGCCTCTTCACACTTTGCCTCAAGCGCAGCCAGAGAAATGTCCTCCCAACAACCCACCCCTCCACACACAGTACCCTACTCCCAGACGACAACCGTGTCCCTGCGAGAGGAAGGGAAGAGCAGAGCGCCACTGCCAAGTCCCTCAAGTAGCCCTGAGTGCAAATCTGCCCTAACGCTCCCTTGGCCTCCTTATAAACCCCCGCCCCTCCTCACTTCCTGGCCCCTCCCCCTCACTTCCGGCCTCCCTGCCAACACTTCCGGCGCCTGGGAGCCACCGCAGCTCGCGAGTTGCCTCCGCGGTTGCGCTACGCCCCCTTCTCCCTCTCTGCCCCCGCCGGGACCCTGGGCGACAGGAAACGGCGAGGAGACGCTCTAGCAGGCACCCAGGAACAGGACAGGAGGGCTAGAACGATGGAGGCCCACGTCTCGGTGATGCAAGGGAGCGGGGAACGCAGGCGAAACAGAAGGACCGGCCTCCCCCATCTCCTGCCACTGGGGGCAAACTTCGGAAGGCGGTGGAAGCGCTTGGTGGCCCTCCGCTCTCGGTGCTATGACCGCATCGGCGCGGCGCCATCCTACTGACCGGACACGGAGTCGCAACACCGACTCCCCGCAGCCCATGCCGGAAGCGGAGGGGTGGGCCCTGTGAGCGCCCTGAAGTACTTCCGGCCCTTCTAGGCGGAGGACTTTGTTGTTTGAGGACTCAGTCGTCCCTCGGGGACGGCGCAGGGGCGGGGCCCGAGACTCTTCTCCCCCCTCCTCCCCCCCGCCTCGCAGCTGTAGTCGGCGTTTCCACACCCATTTTAGAAACTGCGGTCCGGTCGCTGTCGCGTCCCAACTGCCCGTCAGTAAAGGACTGGTGACAGATCGTTACCGGCACGTTCACACGTGGAGCACTCGAGCTGTAAAATGGGAATCCTCTTAAAGATGTATTCTTAAGTGAAAAAAGCAAGGTGCTGAACGATGTGTAGAGTACACTACCATCTATGAAAAAGAGGGGAAAATGTTAAATGTATTTGATATCGTAATAGTCCTGTGTGTGCTCATGTAAAATAAGGGTAATAGTGCTTGTCCAGAGGGTTTTGTGAGATTAGAGTTAATGTCATGCAAAGCGACTAGAATGTTGCTTAGCACATAGTGTAATATAAGGTTTAGCGACCCTTTATCATCGTTGTCGTCTGTCTGGAAGAATCCTAGCAGCAGAGTTTCTCTGGGAAGGCTGAGGGTCCGGGGTAGGAAGGACACTTTTTCGTATATGTCGTTCTGTATCTTTTGAATTTTGAACCAAGTCAATGTATTAAAAAAGAAAACTTTTTTTCTAAATGTCATGGATTCATACAGCACTTTCTGAGCTGTGCACCACGCGTGCTCTGCACCCAAAATACCTCCAGGTCTGTCTGCATGGGGTCCCAGCCTAAGGGCAGGGACTCAAGTTGGGTTTGTGGGTTTGATTTTACTTGAGAGACTCTTATCCGGGATGTAGAACGGTATTGGGAAAGATGCCGCTGTGCTACCAAGAGCATCTCTGCGACATAGATTATTTGTGCGATAGAAATACTTGAGGCTGTTAACAAAATGACTGTTTAATTTTTTAAAAAACCGTGGGGGAAGTTACAGGACCATAACTCATGTGCGGAGCGCCCAGTGAGTGCCGGACGCCGCGCGATGCCAGGACCGGCAGGCGAACTGACCTCGCTCCGGAGGGAGCCTGCGCGTGGACGCGCGCCCCTAAGGGGCTGGTCTGCACGCGCCAAGCACGAGTCCTCGTGGGCGAACGGCTGTCCTAGGCCGTGCCGGGAGCTGTGGCTCTGCTGTGCGGGAGAGTGCGGCTGCAAGGCGTGACCGCGGCTCAGCCGGCCCGCGCAGCCCTGCGGTTCCCGGCCTGTGTAGAGTCCGGTGCGTGTCAGGCGGCCCTCTGCCGTGCTGGTTTCTGTAGTGTAGTGGTTATTACGTTCGCTTCACACGCGAAAGGTCCCCGGTTCGAAACCGAGCGGAAACAACTTTTGCTCTCGCTTCGATTTCCGTTGTCATCTGCTCACCTCGCCTCTCGGGGAGACGGGCTATCACCTGAAGGGAAGGACAGGTGTGTGTCCCTCTGTATCTCTGTTTCAGGGAGACGGGCAGTGGAGCAGGATCGCGGGAGAGCCGCACTCGCAGCATAGCACTGTAGATGCTTCAGTGTGAGTTCAGGGCCCGCGCCTCAGCTAACCCCTTGCTTTGCCCTCGGAAGCCCGCACGGTCACCTCTCCTAGTCGAGGGGCATAGTCTTCGGATCCCCCGGCTCTAGTCTCTAGGACAGACCCAGGCGTACAGTAGACGCTCCATAATACACGTGCAGTTGCTTCCCTGCACGTGGATCTTGGTCTCCTGGGACACAACACAGATGAGCGGGGAGGTGGTCAGGCTAGTTCAGCCTGTAGAGCTTGAGATCCTTAATCTCAAGATCTGGCAGTTCGAGCCCCACGTTGGATGTGACCCTTTTTGGAAATGAAGATGGCGAAGACAACAAGGTCCTCTCGAGACCGAGAGCTAGTGGACCTCCGCATCCCCAGCGGTGGGCGCCCGTAGCTGAGCGGAAGACCTCGAATTGGAATGCGTTCGGCCCTAAGGCCCTCCCTGGCCGGAGGGGAGTGAGTGAGGGGCAGGCGCCGGCGGAGAAATTCCTGGGAGGCGGCTCCTCAGGCCGCCTTTGCGCTTGCTGAAATCCGCCTACCCACGTTCAACACGTATTAGGCGCCTTCTGTTTACCAAACGACAAGGTGTCCGGGGCGACACCTGGGCCGCCCGATTCGCTACCGCCTTACTCTGTGATTTAGAGGTTAGATTCCGCGCTCTCACCGCCGCCGCCCGGTTTCGATTTCCGGTCAAGAAAGAGGTGCCCTGGTAATCTGAGATCCTCGTCTTCAGTATACTCTATTTCTCAGTTTTAAGAGTCGATCTTTTTGTAAAATGTTGCCCCACGCAATCCGGCCTCCACTTTTCCCCCCACACATAAAGGAATGTAAAAATGTCCTTTATTTTGGAACACGCTAACATGAACATCCTCAGTTTACCCGTCTTGTCAAGAAATTCTTCCTGAACTTCAACTGAAATTCATTCCTTCCTGTTAACTGTTTCCTTAGTCCCGCAAATTCAGCCCGTTTTCTGTTTCTCGTCTGTAGAAGTCTCCTCCACATACACAGCAGACCACAAGAGAAGTCTGTTGATCATATAAAGCTGGTTTATTTCCCTTGCTAAGCGAACGATACAAAGCCGATACAAAGCCTCAGTCTCGGAAGTGTATCGAAGCGGGGAGTTAGGGAGGGTTTACATGACACTGTGTGAAGGCAGTCTGGACCGGAATTGGTCAGAAAATGTCAAACAGGCAGAGTTGCTAGTAGTCCAGCCCCGCTCTGCTCAGGCCACCCTGGGGAGTTACTGTTACCGCAGTCTTATCTGGGAACTTATGAGTCTAAACAAGCTGGTGTTCCAAGAGTTTCAACTTTGACACTTAGTGTTGCACAAATACTTGCGGATTTGTTTGCAAATTGTGGTTTCAAGGTTATTTTTTACACCTTGACTGGGCCTGGAAAACATTCCTAAAAGATTCTGGCTTTTCATTAAGGGGAAGCCGCAATGGACCAGCTTCTCTTCCCCGTCTGCCAACAAACAAAGGAAGGCTGCCTGAGCTTTCCACTACAATTCCTGCTTTTCTCTCTTCTCCACCCCTCCACTGTCCCTCCGGCCAGGCCGGGTTTGGAATCCCTCTCCGGGTGAGTGACCCACGCTGCTCTTGGCACAAAGAAGTCAAGCGTTCTTTAGCTGAGACGTTCAGCAAACACATGAGATCTTTGGTCTTTTGCCCCCTGGGTGATGGAGACCGGAGAGACAGAGAGACTGGCTCAGAGTTACCTTTTTAGAGGGATCCCTTCAGGAATAACAAGCAGGAGGTGTGAGAAGAGCGAGGCTGTGTCAGGGAGAGGAGCTGGAAGGACACAGCTGTGGTCCCTGATGGGAGGCGGCTGGTGAGGCAGCAGCTGGATGGAGAAGGGGGTGAAGGAGCTGGAAGGACACAGCTGTGGTCCCTGATGGGAGGTGGCTGGTGAGGCAGCAGCTGGATGGAGAAGGGGGTGAAGGAGCTGGACGCATGGTTTGTCCCCAGGCAAGAGAGGGGGAGTTGCGAGTTTGTGCTTTAGATGGTTTAATAACAGAGACTGAGGACTGAGGGTGAGGGGTTGAGAGAGGAGCAAGAAGTAATGAGTTCTGTCTTGAACAGGTTGGGAGGCGTCTGAAAGGACATAGCCAAGACATGTGAATCTGAAGCTTGGGGAGAGCTGTCCTTGCTGGAGCCACACATGCGGGGGGGAGAGGGTGGGCCAAGCTGGAAACCCAGATCTGACCCCGGGGAGATGGACTCCGGTAGATGGAGGACGAATCGGAATAGAAGGAGAGCCGGCGGCGAAGCTTCCACCGAGGCCAGATGAGTCGAGATGTGCAGAAAGAGGGGACAGACAAATCGGTACTCAAATTATGGTCTAGTAAGGGAAAGTGGTAAGCGTCCGTGGATCTGGCCACCGGCAGGCTCCTGGTGACCTTGAACCAGACTGGACAAGAGGGCCTCCCTCCTGGCGCTGGGGTAGAGAGGGCTTTCGGGTCACAGACACGCCGAGGACCCCTCCGAAATAGGACGCAGCCTTTGTGCCAATTCCTGGCTCCCCGGGGCTTCGGGAATCAGTGTCGGTGACGGGAAAACATTTTGCAATATTAAACCATCCATCTTACTCTTAGATTTGCGTATATGTAGATCTACGTATAACATTCGTTAAGCCTCATCCCAATACTGGATGTTAAATGCTAGGATTGATGAGTTTTATTTTTATAAACTACTTAAAAGATTTCATTAAGTTTTCAAAATTTAATAAAATTTTTATCTTTAAATAACATTGACTTAAAATTTGATATTAATTTCAATTTCCCTTTTATTTTTAATAAATAATTTTCCATAATTTAGAAGTATATAATTATTTCGAAAGCATATGTAAAATTAATTTCATTTTTGGCTTATTTATATTTATTTTAGTTTACATTTTGACGAAAATATGTTTAAATCTCGTATACTTTGGATAAAATTTGCATTTCTATAATCTTTTAAATCTTTACTGTCAATAGAGCACAAATCATGTGAAAATTTAAACCCTCCGGCCGTCTTCCTAGAAGAAAGAGAAATAGAGAGGGTTATCCAGTCGAAACCCTCAGAAGCCACTTTTACCTTCGCTCCTGCGAGGCCTGTTGCTTTCATTCACTGCATTTTTTTTTTTAATTGCTGGACGTGAATGATTTCATGACCCACTAACGGGTGGCGCTTCCTAGTTGGACAAACACTGCGGGACCGGTATTCCAGGACGAAATACTTCCAAGGGCTCTGACCTGGCGGGTGGAACGGGGAGACCTGGGCGGTGACCACGAACACAAGTCCTGTAAAGCTCCTGGAACGAAACAAGGAACCGTGGGTTTCTGTAGTGTAGTGGTTATCACGTTCACCTAACACGCGTAAAAGGCCCCGGTTCGAAACTAGGCGGAAACAACTCAGTCTCCGTTGCTTTTTCTTCACTCAAAGAATTTCTTCTAATTAGTGAATTTGTCTCATTCAGTCATTTGTCGTTGGAATGTACGTGCCTCTACATACACTATTATAGTTTTATCCGTACTCCTGCATGTCCCAATCCATTACCAGTTCACTGCAATCAGTATATTCCA